AACTCATCTACTACTTAAGAGACGACACCTGGGCTATTTTAACTCTTTCAGAATTCACATGACACCAGGTTATAGCCCAACTGGTTAATTTGGAATCACACAAGCTTTTGGAGAGCAGCCTCTTCATCAGGTGCACCTGGACTATAACCTGGTGTCATATGACTTCTGACTTTGTCCACCCCAATCCAAGACTGGCACCTCCATATCATTTTAACTCCTTGGCTTCATTTAAATCCCATCAATTGACTTCTGTTCTGTGATGAATGGAGAGCAGCTGCAAGATCACCCAATATTGAGGGCACCCATCAACACAAAATTCACTTTGCTTGCGAGATGTAGTGGGAAGGGCAGCACGGTGGCTCAGTGGTTAGCACTGCTGCCTCACAGCGCCAGTGACCCCGGATTGATTCCACCCTCGGGTGACTGTTTGTGTGGAGTTTCTACATTCTCCCTTTGTCTGTGCGGGTTTCGTCTGGGTGCTCCGGTTTCCTCCCACATTCCAAAGATGTGCAGGCTCGGTGGATTGGCCATGCTAAATTGCCCGTAGTGTTCAGGGATGTGTGGATTAGGAGGATGGTCTGGGTGGGATGCTCTGAGTGTCGGTGTGGACTTGTTGGGCTGAAGGTCCTGTTTCCACACTGTTGGGATTCTGTGATCTATGATCTGTGAACATTCTAAGTTTTCATTTTGGGGCTCAAAGTGGAGATGAGCTGCTGCAGACCCCACAGAAAATAATTTTAACTAAAGCATTTACTTGGTGTTCTCTTTGTCTTGACATTCTTGGCAAAATCCGCATCTTGAAGGAAAACTTCAGTGCTTTGTTCACTCAGAGTGTCAGTTAAACTGGTACTGACATTGATGGTATATCATAACTTTGACGTATCATCATGCTTATGTAAAAAGGATGTCAAATCACAATGGTGGAATTACAGAAACTTTCTGACAGGTAAATAGCTTACATTGATTTGGGCAAGTCTGTTTAATTCCTGTCTCTTCTAGAGCATTAGAGCTAAAATGGATGTTCTCCTCCAACTACATAATCTGCACATTTTAGGCAAATCCAATAATTGTCACCAGAGCCTCTTGTTTTGTTCCAACTGCTCAAAATGTATGCCATTAGACTTAACCACTTTGTGTTCAGTGTATTTAGGAAAATGCCTTTTCTATGTTCTCCTGCAGTACACCTCTTACATTCACAATCGTATTCATACGGAAATAATGCAAAATGTTTGTTTAATATCTATGCTATACATTTATTCCTGAGTATATTTATTTTTACTTTTTGTATCAAAACAGGATGAGGTCGAAGAGTTGTAACAGTTTAATTTATGCTCGGCATTGACAAGTATTATTCATAGCTTTAATGAGAACACTATCTATTAAATAATAATGGAATACTGCTATGGGAAGGCAGTCAGATTGGATTCCATAATGGAGATCAAATGATGTGAACAGCCTTCTTCACACAATATTTAGCAAAATTGTATGGCTCAGAATTTCAACAGTTGTTCCTGCTCCACCCCCATAAATTTGTCAATGGAGTTACCATGATTGAGTCAGTGTAACTCCAAGGAAATTCCTGGCCTGTGTGTTTATTTCAAAGTAAAAGTGTATTTCCTTTCGTCCATTGAGAAACTGAAATAATCCAGCCTTTAAGGGATGCTTTTCTAAAAGTGGTGGAAGGCTAATATAACTCTACAATTCAAACTATTTACATTACATGAAAAGGCTAGGGAGAATTAAATAATTTAGCCCTTGCTGATCTTTCATGCTACATAGCAGCCAATATCAAAGCAATATGACAGAAGTAGGCAAAGCCAATATCTATATCAAATCACACCCCCACCCCAATATAACCCCCATGAGAGCAGTTTGCTCATGAGTCCTCGCCCAACATAACTTGTATGATACTGAAAGAAATCTTTTACAATATAGGAAAAAGAGATTTTCTTCAAAAAAAAAACTAAAAGAGCCACTTGTAGCTCAATATAAAAACATGGAAATGTACTACAATTTAAAGATATGGAGTTTCACTGTTAACAACATACAGATCTAAGAGAATGAGTCACTTGTTTTATCAAATGGAATAAAAAGGTTGTCTAATCGATAATATAGCTTAATCTCCAGAGAAGCAAAGTACACTGCATTCAATCTTTAAATAGTGCTAAGATGAGGAAATGAAAATCTAAGCGGAACTGAAGTGTGTTCACAGCAACATGGAGATAGCTCACTGGGTTGTATCTAAAATTGAGGTCCTTCTTCTGGTTAAGCAAACCAACCAATTGACTTAGTCCAGTTGTTCTTATTAAGAATGACTCCAACTGAAATCAAAAGTTGTCTCAAAGAAGAATAATAACAGAACTCAGAGGCACATATATTAAACTAATAACAAGCAAAGTAGATAAAGGGGAAAAAAATCAAAAGAACTGCAAAATCTGGAAATTAGAAACAAAAACAGAAATTGCTGGAAAAGTATTTAGAAAGAATCATTGAGCAGATTGGGTAGATACTCATTGGAATTGATAAGAATGAGATGTGTTCTAATTGAGAAATACATGATCCTAATGGAACTTAATAGGATGGATGTTGAGAGGATGATTCCTCTTGTAGGTTAAAAATAAAGAGGTCTCCCTTTCGTGTTGGAGATGAAGAGAACTCTTTTTTATCTGATATATATTAGTATGTGGAATTCTCTTTCCCAGCAAAAAGTGCAGGCTTGGTTATTGAATTTTTTCAAGGCAGAGATAGGTAGAATTTTGGTAGAAGAGAGTTATTGGGAGGGGTTGAGGATAGACAAGAACGTGGAGTTTAGACCACAAGCAAAACAGCTATGGTCCTTGTGCCTGGTGGATGAAGCTCCAAGAGCCTAATAACCTACTATGCTCCAAAGTCTTACATTCTAACACTTGGTCACATGACAGGTTGAACATAATAGAAATGATGCATTTTGGTGTGAAGAATGAGGAGAGGCAGATAAAGAAACAAAGAACAGCAGCAAAGAGACCTCGGGACATATATACACAAATCTTGAGTATGGCAGATAAGTTATGGGATCCTTTGCTTCATTACTAAAAGCTCAGAATACAAAGTCAGAAATGCAAAATTAAGCCTCTATAAAAAAATTAGTTCAGTTTTAATTGTAGAAATATGTTCAATTCAATATTTCGCAAAGGCTTGGAGAGCAGAAGACAGGACATAGCTCCTTAGTGATAAATGATACAGCATAGATTAAATGGGTCAAGTAACCTCCTTGTATACTGCGTCATATTATGTTGTTAAAAATTGTTTGTAGGCAAATGTAACAGCCAACTTGTATACCACAATATTCCAGAAATAGCGAGGTCAGGATATGGGAACAGCTTTGCAAATAAGAACATTTCATTAGGGTGGTCAGCACTCAATTTGGCATCTCATTTAAACATCCATCATTGACAATGAGGCACTTCTTCAGTGTTACAATGAACCTATATCACAGGCACAACCATTGTAACGTTTGAAGTAAAGAGGCTTGCACATTTCTTTGGAAATGGCTACATTTATCTTCCAGGTACAACTCAAAGGATAAATTGATGAAAGATCATCAACAAGGATAAATTGCTGGCAAATAACATTGGCATATTAGCAAATCTCTATCACTATGCTTCTAAACTTGACTAATAAAACTGCATTAGAGACATTTTGCCTAGGATATTTATAGTTAACTTTTCTTAATGGCTGAAGTTCAGTTCCTGTAACTGACATTTAGATTATTTTGACTGCTATTACCATCACATTTCTCACATCAATATTGCGTCATTGCGATCCTGTAACAAACTTTTTTAAACCAAAAGTCTCAGCCCATTGTAAACTGCAAAAATGTCCTTGGATTTCTCAAAGATAGTCAAAGCAGATTTTTTCTGTGCGTGGGTTGGAAAGGCTGGCAGGGAAGTTGAGGGAAAGTCACAATCTGATCTTACTGAATGGTATAGCAGATTTGAAGTGTCAAAAGGCCTACAGCTGCTTTTGATTCTCATGATCTTACAATAATTGCCAACATATTATTTGCCTTCCTACTTTCTTGCTGTACCTGTATGTTAACATTGTATTTCATACATAAAGACACCAAAATACTTCTGAACATAAATGTTTACTAGTTTCTAAGAATCAACATCTAAAATAACTGTTAGAAACTCATTAGATCCACTGAACAGTTAGATTTAGGACCTGAACAAAAGATCGCCGACTACAGCTTTCATGAGAGTAATAATCTAATTTTTGCTGTAAAAAAAAAAGTAGAATTTATCCTATTTAAAATCATTTTCATTTAAAATGTTCAATGGTGCAATAGTGCATGTAAATTTATAAGTAAAAGTTGAGATAAATTTGTTGGTGCATGAATTCAATTAACGTGTTCATACTTCTGATTAGGTTGGACCTCAAACTTGCTTATTTCAACCTTCCTACATTTGAGCAGTTTCAAAGGCTGTCTTGTACATTTAGTGCAGAACCTCTCAACTTGGAGATCCAGTTTTGATTGACAGGTACACATATGTTTTTCAAGAATATATTCAACAATCTCAAATTACCTATCAAGCAGATACTTGTGAAAAGGGAAATTGGATTTCATTAGCAGTTCAGCAAGGCTTTTCGTTGCTTACTGTAAGCCTAATTTAGCTTCTGTACCTTTGTTCATTCTCCATAAAATGTTTGGATCATTTGAGACTGGCAAATATTTACATACTGTTCCACCTTTTAAAAGGAAAACCCATCAGTTTAAAGAAAACAGAATTTGGTCACTCTCAGAGGGAACACCATGTAACCTTAAAGATTTTAGTATCCATCACTATTTATCCACATCAGTTAAATACCAAAGAATTTTTTTGCCTCTGGTATTGGTAAATGAAAAAGGCTGCTGTTAAAGTTTTGAACTAAAAACAAGGAGCAACTTACAAAGTTCGAAGTTCAACAGTTTGTCTATTTCATTCACTCAAAAAACAGCTCAAGGACAGAAAACTACTTACCTTTCAACCGCGTTCAAATGAGATCAAATTGGTCTTTTCGTTGTATCAACTCTAAAGAAAGTTTTCTACATGTAGATTCCTTAATGTTTAAGACAAACAGAGAAGTTTTTGCAACATTGAACGGTAAACAGTTCAGAAAAAATTTACAGCTGCCTTATCCACTCCCCACCAGCACTACCAAAATTGAGGAACTAGCTCGGAGTTTTTTTTTTGTGTTACTTCCTGGTGTTTATATAAAATCAAATAACCTCCCAGCCCCGGCTAGCATGCAATTTGCATGATCTACAATAATTTACCAGCCCACTGTTTACTGTGATACAAATACTAACAATATTGGCTAAGATGCAACAAAAGGATTGCAACTGAATTGTTACTTGGCTATGAAACTAATAAAGCAATGAAGGAGAGTGAATTCATTCAATTTAAAAATACATTTTCCTTGCACATGTGAAGTCGCAACACACTATTAAACGATACAAAAGGGCAATTGTTTATAGTAGTCATCACATGGTTCAAATGTCAAACTTTATGTCTGGAACTAAAGCTAAGATTCACTCCCTTGTGATACAAGATAAACAAAAAAAAATTAACAAGAGCTTCTTGAGAAATGAATAAGGGCATTAAAAACAACAACCTTGGCCTTCAGGGATTATCCAAGTATGTGAAGAAAAAGCCGATGTTGACATTTTTGATCAAGTCATTCCAAAACTCAAAATTCAAAAATCACATCCTTGTCAGGGGCATGAAGGAATTCTAGATTCAAAATATACGTGAGAAACATTCTGAAATCATTTGGATGACATTACCACCATGGAAACAGTGACAAAAGGAGGAAATGCAAGTTTATAGTATTCTTAAAATATACTTAGGAAAGTTTCTGTTTTGAGCGCAATTAGTATTTTGGGTGTAAATTGTTCTTAAAATTATGTTACTTTATTGTTCCAGTTTCTGCTCAGACCTATTTGCATTAGAGTACTACAGCATAGAAACAGGCCCTTTGGTCCACCACATCTGTGCCAACCAACAAACACTAAACTAACTATTCCCATTTACCTGCACTTGGTCCATAGCTTACTATACCCTGGCATTTTAAGTACATATCCAGATGCTTCATAAATATTGCAAGAGTATCTGCCTCTAACACTCTCTCAGGCAGCATGTTCCACATTTCTACCAACCACTGGGTGAAAAAAATTCTTTATTTATCTCCTCTAAACTATTTGCTTCTCACCTTAAGCTTATGTCCTCTGGTCTTAGGTATGTCTGCCATGGGGAAGAGATTCTCACAATCTACTTTGTCAATATCCCCCATAATTTTGAATACTTCAATCAGGTTTCCCTCAGCCTCCTCTGCTCCAAGGAAAACAAACCCAACCTATCCAGTCCCTCCAAATAACAGACTTCTCATCTCAGTCAACAGAGTAAAATCTCCATGTATAAGTGGAATCAGGCAACTTTTAAGGAAGATTTTTTTTTCTCTTATTTTTAAATCATTCTAGGTTTTTAAATGTGTTAAAATGGATTTATTACAAAAAAGAAGCATTTTCAATTAGCGTCAAGTCCACTGTGTATCAGTCACTTGATTTTAAGTAAAAAGAACTTAAACAATTCGGAAGAATCAAATTATTTTGTGATATACAGCAGTTAGTTCACTATTTTTTATTATTTTTAATTTTATTAATCTTGTTATTCACTTGTGAGATGTGGGTGTCACTGGCTGAGCCACTATTTGTTGCCCAACCCTGCATGCCTTTGAAGAGATGGTGGTGAGCTGCCACCTTGATTTGTGGATGTAAGTGCGTGGGTGTGTAGAATTCAGTTTTATTACTTTTATTAGAGTGGGTTAAGAACAAAAAGATGATTGTCTTTTTTAAAAACACACAAGAAAACGTATCTATGTATCTTTGGAAGTAGCAGCATGTAATCAACTAAACACTCACTGAATTGGTGAGCATATCTATTAAAAAGTCTGTTATAGCCAAATGAGGAGGAGGAAAAGAAAGGAGTCATTTCAAAGCCAATGATAAACTGTTCGGGCCACGTCTATCCAGGCAACAAGGATCATGGCAGATAGAAGAATCATAAGGTAGAATCTTAGAGGGCTGCGCGACTTAGATTTTGGCAATATGTGGGACTGAATTAGATGACAAGTGCAGCATGGCCCATCTCAACATCAATATCACCTGCTTCATCTTTTATGAAATTAGGCAAGCAGTGTGGCAAAATCCTCTATAGGCAACGACGAGATGCTAATTGATAGGGAATAAGCAAATAAAACCCAAAGGACTGTGGATGCTGGAAATGTGAAACAAAAACAGAAATTCTGCAGGTCTGGTTGCATCTGTGGTAAGAAAGCAGAGTTACGGTTAATTGGGCTCGAAACATTAACTCTGCTTTCCCTCCACAGATGCTGCCAGACTTGCTGAGTTTTTCCAGCAATTTCTGTTTTTTGTTGACAAGAATTAATGCTTGTTAAACACCTTTTAAACAACACAACTCACCTGAATAATATTCACTATGCTGTTACCAAACGCACAAAATAAACTAGGTATTGGAAAACCTTGACAAGGAGACAAGAATAGATTCAGCTCACCACTTGCTACAAATGACCTCCATCTTGAACACTGGGAGCAACAATTCAGGGCGCAATATGTAAACACCCATTGTCTACAGACAGTGGCATCCAGCATCTGTCAACCCATCACAACAACCATGGCATCTCTTTGATAACTGGCAGGCTGCTCACAGGGCACAGATGTGATAGCAGGATGCAGTAACAACTAACATTTTAAGACTGCAGGAGGGAACTGTGGAGCACAGACACTCAGTTCATGGAATGGACCAGGCTGCTTCTTTGCTCCCTCGGAGCTCACTCATTCTGCACTCATTTGCATGTTCACACCACCTATGCCTTGACTTGTCATGTTGAACTGTGCTTATTAGACTTTGCCTCTTCCTGAAGTGCCCCATGCTGTCATCACTGTCGTCCTAAGGAGCTTTTTATATTGAATCTCAGAAAGGAGGATGCAGTCATATCCTTCCTATTGTGTGGTAACCAGAATTGCACACAGCACTCCAGCTTTGGTATAATTAATGTTTCATACTGTTCCATTATAACCTCCCTGCTCTACAAATAAACAAGTATCCTTCTTGGCCTTTTGACAAGGATCAAGTGTAAGCTCTGAGTTGTGAGTCATCAAAGGATTTTGAGATCATCGTTGGACTGTGGCTGGATGTTGGAGGATTGTCGGTTGGACCTTTATGCAGACTTTGGCCTAACGCCAATATAGTGTACAGCTAACCAGAGCTCAGCAAGCACACATGCCCCAGGCCTGGGCGTCGGAATACAGTCAGGGTTATCCAGACCTTCTTCATGAAGAAGATCCTCCTTGATTGTTGCAGTTTCCAAGTGGCAGATGTCTGCTGTCTGCAGGATTTCCCCTCAGGAAATTGATGTGACCTTCCAGAGTGTGAAGCAATGTGACCATGTCCTGAAGGTATTCTAGGAAAAAAGGTGGTGAGGGTCCCCTCTGCATGCTGTCTACAACACCATTATTCATGCTACCTGCACAGAAGAGCTGGGTAGCAACCATCCATATGTATAATCCCCATATGCTGGCACTCTGTTGACTGGGATGAGAAGTCTGTTATGTGGATGGACTGGATAGGTTGGGTTTGTTTTCCTTGGAGCAGAGGACGCTGAGGGAGACCTGATTGAAGTATTCAAAATTATGGGGGATATAGACAAAGTAGATTGTGGCAATCTCTTCCCCATGGCAGACATACCTAAGACCAGAGGGCATAAGCTTAAGGTGGGAAGCAAGTAATTTAGAGGAGATAAATAAAGAATTTTTTCATCCAGTGGTGAAAGTACATGCAGCTGGAAGGCATCAGCGCTGATGTGATGGACACATTTGGGATCTGGACTAGCAGGCAACAGGTCACGGTGGACCCTGAGGATGAATATCAACAGGAACATCCTCCACCCACCATCCAGCTTCAGAAGTGTAGGGAGCAGAGGCTACCTGATATATGCCGGGCAGCCGAGAGAGTGTGAAATTTGCAGGAGGTCGGGGTACGTAGCAGCAGATTGCAAGGTGATCCTCTGCAGGAACTGTAAACAGGTGGGGACCTAACTAAGGGCTGTAAAGTGTCCAATAGCTATAACTTGTGTGGGGAAGCAGGCTACCTCTACTTAGCCTGGGACAGCACATATGCTCAGATGGCCAGAAGTGGTAACGTGGGCTGTGGCCATTAAAGGACAGTAAGGTGCCAGCCTCCAACAAGACCACTGAAACAAGGGTCACCCAGAAGGAGAAAAGTGCTGGTGAGGAGAAAAAGAGAGCCAGTGCAGTGACACTACAACCAACTCAAACTCCACCTGAGAAGCCAGGGGCAATGCAGGAGGAGGAAATGAAGGAGTCAAGGAGTGAGAATCATGAAGAACAACCACAAAGGACAATACATTGAGCTTCATAGGTCCTCACAAAAACAAGAAGAGGCAGCTACATGAAGGAAAGACCAGCAGCTCCTCTGACGATGAGGACATGCAGAGGCATGGCCACCAACCAAAAAAAAAAGAAACATAGCACCACGGGAGAGAAGGAGAGGTTCACGCCCCAGCCCAGAAATGCCAAATGTCATGACAGACCCAGTGAAACCCAAAGCTCCAGCTGTCAGGAACCACGAGGTAGCCACCACACCATAGCTCCAAGCAACTGGGAGCAGCAACACTCCAAACAAGGAGCAGAGCATGACAGCAACTCTGTCTGACTCAGAACCAGAGCTTCATACTCACCCCCAGATTAGAGCAACACCCCCTCCAGACAGGAACAGGACAGCTACCTTCAGTCTGTGTGGGTGCAACAGTTTGCCCGCAACAGGAGGTACAGGAGCTCGACAAGTAACAAGACCATTGGTGAATGGACATTGGACAATGAGGAGCCTATAGTACTTCTGAAATGGGGTTTAAAATCAGAAGCATTAATATGCATAGTGTTAAAGCTACCAGGTGATGTGTTACTATGTTGGCTTACCTAGCCAGCGTCAAAGTGGACCTCCTGTTTCTGCAGAAGGATGGGATACGCCACCTCATCAGCCACAGGAAACAGTTGAACCTGTGAGCCCAGGGGGCCCTAAATTGGCTGGATGGAGCACAATGATTGCTGTTCCTCTATCCTGGGTATTCTGCTGCAA